ATACATAAGAAATAATGAAAATAAAAAACTAAAAAGATGGGACGATTCCCCCGAGACATTCTATGAAGCTGAGGCGTCGAATCGGCTTACGTTACGGTTAGAGATTTCGGCTCTTCCACGCTATCCCGAGTGAACATAAAACTTAGTCTTAACCAAAAGGCCAGGGAGTGAGGGGGTAGCCGCCCACTAGAGCATACCTTTAGCTACCCTCTTAGACCATCGCGCTATGAAGTCACTGATAGATATCTAATGCCTAATCGGGATGATCTATCCGGTGAAGTTCTATACTAATGTATGACGTCATCATAATCCTTAGGGAGCAGCGAGCCAATCAGAACTCAGCTCCAAAATTGTAATATACAAGGCTCCCACACTGTATTGCTCAGCATGCTGTATTGCTCAGTGATTCATTGTTTAAGGGGGGAGGGGTAGGGGGAGTGTCTAATTCAAATTTTACTCGATGGAATGCGATGCGTTTACACACGAACAATGTTTATTGTTGGGATTCAAACATCGCAGCCACGTCAAGATTGCGAAGTCATATCWTCCATTTCCAGTATGTGGTAAAAAAAATCACGGCAAATCAAAGCTATACTTGATACTTTATTGAAAACTCTTCCAATCCTGTTAGACGTAAGAGGTAGTGGTTTATATTCTAAGACTTCTACAGGGAGTGTATTGTAGCCGTCGGGATTCAAATGAACAATCGAAGACCTCTGGACTCCGACGTGACATGGATTGTTGTGGTGAGCACTATTGATGTGGATAAATTTTGATTATTGACTGTACATCGACGACTAGATTTCGACACGGGTCCAGGTTAGTTGTTTGACATAAGTCAAATGGTACACAAATGTTTTTACTTGAATAAAATAACTCTAAAACTAACAGGTGAAAGTTCCTTTGCAAAACAGATCGATTTTCGTGTGTATTTATAGGGTCACCTTTGTTGTCAATTGTGGACTACCTGTGTTTTCTAATAGAATGACTGTCTATCAATTTCTTACCCCGATCCCGAGCCCCGTTTTTCTTGGCRAGCGTCGGAAACGATGTTTATGTTTGTCGACCGCGCTGACCAAGAAAAACGCAACGTACTATAACCAAGACAAACTGTAATAAAGCTTCAGACATCCATCGCTGGTCGTCGATCACGCGAGTGACCGCGACATTTATGGCTGCAGGAGGATTGTCTCCACTGAGGCATTTTGGAAACTAGACTGAAACGCATATTACAACTCTCGGATTACGTATCCGGGCCCAGAACGACTGAATATTCAAAGGGTAGAACACGAATTAAAGAATTGGCCATATCGTTGTCTTTATGTCAGCACGCATGACATGACTGACTGAACAGGGCGGTAATTTGATTGTTTATGATTAAATCTTTTAGCTTAATCTCTTTTAAATAGTGTACTTTTAGGCACGCCCGCAAGGTGTTGCTTGTGGCCATGTAGAAAATCCTCCTGTGTTTTAGTCAAATAACGTAACAAGGTGGGTAGGGCAGATGTTTAGGATTCTTACTGTAGAGAACTTACAGTACATCAAACCACTCCTTAAGTAGCCAATAGCATTAATCTTTTGCACGATTTTGACTGACTAACATCCAATTTATTTAAATAGGGATGAGTGACAATGTTCCTTAACTCGATTATTCGGTTGCATGGCCACCAATGTACTTCTGACCATTAAAACGATTCTACCTCAATCTCAATATGTAATGCATTGATTGTCATATGGTATTTTGCTGGTTAAGTTCATGGTAACTTTTGAATTGCACTGCCGATGACAAGCGTCGGTTTGGCGCGTCGAGTTTGCGACAAAGGAAATCACACCCATGGGAAAACTCCTTTTGTCATGTTCATACATCAGTCTATTCTTTTCAGCTGAGACATTTGATGATATAAAAAATATCGGATGATTGTTATGATTATTGTCCGGGCTTGTGCAAAATGGATATATCACTCACAGTTTCTAAAAATCTAGTCGCAGCTATCTATTTTAATTGTTGATCCTTTCTTTGAGCTGTGCGGTTTCGTTTCATTCTGGATTCCAACGGATGAACATCGTATCCTGATTTCAGTTATATGATTATTAGATATTCCAACACTTTTTACACAAATAAAGCTCTTGATGGCACTTAACGTAGATTTTACTGCTATCCTTATTTCCCCAGTCCTTCCACAGTAGATTAGCGGATTGCACAGAGAGCTAATGGCATATACTGTAAGTGTTATTAAACACAATAAATTATCAATTCGAGGGTTTTGAACAACGACTACGATTATAAGTAATTTTACTACAGAAGGTGCATAGCAGACTAGAAACACACCAATAGCGTAACCCATGGTTACCGCAAGCTTCCTTTGATGGGCTCGTTCAGCAGCGTTGCCATCAATGGCATTACTAACTTCTTGTTGAGAGCGAATCTGAAAATGGTGTTTGCGAACAAGCTTAAAGATACGGTAGTAGATATAGAGGATAACCACAATGCCTGGAATCGCTAGAACTAAAGCTATTACGGTCGCAATTCGTTTGGAAAATAAAAGCGACAATGCCGAGAGAAAGATAGAAATAACCCATATGACACAACCAACTATTCCAACTCTAGAAATTGTTACCAAACTAGGATATTTTAACGGTTGGAATAAAGCCAAGAATCTCTCACAGCTTACGGCAACGACGCTTAAAAAAGATGCAAAAACGAAAACCCATGAACATGCCTTCWTGACAATAAAAAACGCACATGAGTTGTGAAGATAGTCGTTAAGAAGCCATGATGTTTGTACTGGGAGAAAGATGAAGCCCACCAGGAAGTCGGAGAAGGCTAGTAGACAGATCATGATGTTCGACGGTACGCGAAGAAATGGACTACGAAGAATTGATATTAAKACTAAACCATTACTGCAAGCAATCAATGGCGATATGATGATTCCAAGCACTGAACAAATGATTGTTGCAACCGGTTCTGATTCCAGTTCCTCGTGGTTTATATATTCACATGCTATTTCYTCCCATCTTGGTGGCGCCATGTTCTTGTTCCACCTGTTTTATATACGCAGATATGATTGCAAGGTGAATTTTTTAGACGTAATCAGTATATTAACGAAAGGCAAAGACTTCTTGGTTAGTGTGGCACAGCGGTTCGTTTGTTCTGCCAAAGAATGACATAAATTTCAGTATAACTGACCTATGTTTCGTTCTCACTCAAAAGCGCTTTTTCTTGTTCAAAAAATCAACAAGATTATCCGTTGATAATGTTATAGTACGCAACCCCGATAAGCATCTGTTCTTATGGTGTTTATCCTGATATTTTGGTATTCAAAGGGGGGCGATCGCTCAGTGTCTTATGCTCTTGTTTTCAATGATGACATCGGCTTTCAATTCTCAATTCTAGTCGTATAAACTAATTAAAAACAGTTTGCTGTGCACTATAGCACTATAGTTTACCTGATTTCTATACGACCATTATTCAAGGATCGGTAGGATCCACTTTCATCAGGAAGAAGTTGCCACTGCCATTGTGGCAGTTTAAAATAGCTGCTGTTTCCCTTTAATTTTGCAATAACCGTATTGACGTCATTAAACAATTAAAAGTTGGCTTCCKTTCAGTTCAAAATTTTGGCTGATGACTTTTGGCTCCACGTCATTCATTCASACTTCCCGTTTCCCTRTCCGACTTTCACAATAATTTTCTATAGATRGCTATGACTGTATATACTCATCTATAGACATGCACATACTGAATAAGTCTTTGTTTAGAGGCCCGTCGTTTCYATTGTCAATCTATGATTGACGGCTCTAATGTTAAAAGATACCCCGGCCCCTATATCTTCATATTGCGGTAAGACCCGTCTATTTTCGATTACGCTCCTGCTCGCTGACAAAAACAGGTGACACTAAATAAATATRACATTAAAGAACAAATAYACGAGTTATAAAGAAGTATTACTACTCAAGAAAACGTCTTTTTATCATTGCTAATATCTCTAAGATAGGCATTTATTGCTTTGCCAATTTTTTACTAAAAKAATATTGAACTGCAATCTTGTCGAAAATTGACTTTTTCATCAACGTGAATTTGAAAAAATAGTACTTATCTCTAGTTCGTATCCAAGGAAGTACTTTCAATATAATGAATAGTGCCGTATATAGTACATAGTTATATAGCTATSAATAAAATATGAGTAAGTAAGTTCTGTTCTAATATAGTTTCATTGTATTCAAAAAGCTAGTCTCAAGGTTTTCCCAAAACATCTTTCTTGGGTCAATAAAAGACTTCTCTTCTCATGTTCAGCACTTAACTTGCACCTGTCACACTTCTAATGCTAATCCATTGTTTTTGCTKTACTGGGATGTTCAATTAGAATATATATACAGCGGATTTCGTATGATCGCGGAAAAACCAACAACAACAAAAAAAAACCAACAACAACAACAACAAAAAAAAAAAACAAGCACAACAACAACAAAAAAAAAAACAACAAGCAAGCAAACAAACCAAAAAAACCAGTGCACTTTCGAGAGCAACCGTGCCGTGCCTTTGACGYTGTTCGTAAAACTCATTATTTTCCGTTAACATGAAGACCTTTAACATTCGTTCTTGGAGAACTAGTTTAAATGACGGTAGAAATAACAATTACGTCTCKTTTGCGCAGTCTTTGTCATTTKATTTRCTTAATCAACACTRTAGTGGGATCCCTGTGGTGTATTCTGAGTYAATGATCCATTGTTCCTRCCTCCCCGAGCCCCTAAAGATSATTGATCCAGGTTACTCTGYTCTGCATACTACACTAGTCGTAGTATAGACCTCTGAAGCTTTTACGTCATATACCATATACGCAATGCATTGTAGGATATATTTGGGACAGAACATGGCGGATTTCGTTTGTTTTATCTTGAAATTGAAAAGCAAGTAGTTACCTAAAAGGTTCAGAAGTCTATAGAGCGGATTTCGTATGAGTGGGACACCGTTACCGCACGGTTACCGCACAGTTACCGCACCTGGCCTGCAGAATTTTGGTGAAACAATGGGGCACTAGAATTMGGTTACAGTACGATTACGGACACAGTACAGTATCGTCCGTTTCCCACTCCTACGAAATCCGCTCTATMCAATGCGACCACCTGAACAGGATTAGCGCTAAGTCGTGGTATAAACAGTTGGTTCTAGTTTCGAATAACCCGAATAAAAATAATTTCAAATACAACTATATTTCCAGCAGCGTACTAGGGCATTAATGGGTCGCTGGATTTGTTAGTCGCAGTGTATAATTTGTACCTCTTCCACAGGTCACCTGGAGAATGACGTCCAAGGTTGTCATGGTGTTTTTCTTTATATCTTCAGTGTTTGTTTTGTCAACATCAAAAAGAGATTGTGATGCCTTATATTATGTAGGTTATTCACTGACAGGTTCGCCTTCGCAATGTCGACCACAATGCATCAGTATTAGCAAAGCATCATGGGAGGCTATCAAGTGCAGGCAACGAGCCGCCGCTTTTTGCTTCTTCCATCAAACAAACCTTAAAATGTCCTTGCTCAAGATCTTCACTAATTGGTTGACTCTTTGTCTAAGTTTCCTTTCATTTGCAGCGCTGGGAAAAGCAACTGATACATTTTTAGAACGAATTTAAACTCGTAGCAAAGTGCGCTACTCTTGAAAAGGCGTTTAGCTGTCACAAGATGACCTAATCTAAGTCTGTTTATGTACCATTACATTTTGTTTACTCTAAATTAAATAGGAATCCTCTAGGAATCCAGCTACCTTTTGAGTTCGACAGGGAATTGACAAAATTAATGGCCACCGCAAAAAATGATCAGACGTTTTTTAAGTACTTAATGTAGTTTCTACTTAGGTTATAAAATGCAACAGAAAGGAAAAATGTTCAAAGGAAAACAATCATAGTGACGTTGATAATAAACACTGACATCAAGTCTACATGAAGCGTAATTAAAAAGATAAAACATACGCTTAAATTAATCTTGAGCATTAAAATTAAACGTAACGTACTCTGTAATAGACCTAACGGCTGCGAAATGAATTAGATTAGAGCTAAAATATCACCTCAGGCAGTTTAACCAAGACTCTAATCGACTAAGGATCACCAGTGTCAACTGTGATTGTGTGTATTTTGTGTTGATAGCTGTCTCTCATCTTTTAACAAATCAAGAATTGACTGTGTAAATAAATTAGCAGTAGCTTAAATGCCTTTGGATACTGGAAGTCTACGGCCAGTGTGTATAGGTTTGCTGCGAGGGTAGACCAAAGCTAAGCACTTCTGATTCTCTTTGTGAAGGTAAGAAAGAACTTTTCAAGAAAGGCATATCCAACGAGCTGTTGGAATAATTACTGAATTGTCTATTTATCGGATGTATTTAGAAAAGAACGTTTGCGTTCACCGAGACAAATAGATGTCTGTATTCCATTTTTAAACAAAATTACTAATCTGTAAAGCTAGCGGATTGGAGAAATTCTGTGTTACTAAGGAAAGATACATTCACGGTGTAAATCGGAAGAAATCCGTCTTATGATGTTACTCTAATTTTGTCATAAAATTATTGCTAGGGGTCCATTTTGTATTTACAAATTCAAGGAATCTCACATTTTAGAAATATCGAAATATCGATCGCTTGTGGTACAGCTATACTAAATCTCACAATGTTTTCCAAGAAGTCATAATTTCTAATTTCAATTTTCTCTCATAATCAAAACTATATTCTACAATGCGACATGTTGTCACATGGAATTCCATCCTTCTTTAAACACTTGTGTATTTTAACGAATACACATATTATAATATTTACTTTTCACTGAAGTAAGATCTGGCTTTGCGCGCGAATTGGCGGGAAAAAAGTGGCGGGAATGATGATAATTTACCAGTCACGCGAACTTTATAAAGGTSTTCACAATAGCAAAGCATTAGTTTTTTGTATCTTTTGATGTATTCTTATTTATTCCATTAATGTTCTCACGTCCGAGGGATGATCAGGAAAAATTTCAACTGAAAATTACAATTTTCAGTTTGGCGCCAAATCTCAGAGCAATTTGAAACGCGCGCGCTTTCTTCTATGATCTCAGGTCAGCATATAAGATTTTAATCAAAAGATGTTTTTTGATCAAACTGTCTGAGAAGTTCTGTATGATTTCCGTTGACCTCATGTCCTCAAGAGTGATAAGTTTGCTATTTCAGATCGAACCTATACCGTCGCGGTATTCATTTGTCTGACAGTATAAATTACAACTTCCATTAAAAACAGTTAACAGCTGATTAGCGCATTCATTTTTCACCGTTAATTCGTCTTCTAGTAGCCATGTCTAGTTTTCGCGTTTTTTATGTCCTTTTCGTAGACTTGATTTTTTGTAACTTGTCACTTGATTGTTGTTGCACTTTTTTTCTTACCTCAAAAATGTAGCACTTTAGTTGCTTTTATAACCACTTTGGTTGACAGACTCTAATGATGGCGAAGTTCACCGTTCAAAAGGTTTGTCTTTTGCTAATGGTTGTATTAAACATGGGTAAGTATCTGAAAATATTCAACCTTGGACACTGTGCGTTTATTTTAATCGTTGATACAATCAATGCGTTTCTTTCAGCTTTATCTGCAAAGCCAAGTTCAGAGGTAATGTTGATACGATAAATATAACATGACATAATCTAAGTGTGTATATTCTCTTAATAGAACTGATAAATGGCCTTCATGAAAACGAGTAGAAATCCACAAATTTGAAGAGAATCCTCTTATAAATGTATTAGCAAAATTTTTGATTGTGAAAATCGTACTGCGCATTTGATCACAGGCTGCCCAACTATTACTTGAGACGAGGCATACGTCACGATCACGTCTCTGACAGACTAGTTTGTATCCCGAGCTAGAGACACGGGATCGTGACGTATGCCACATGTAATCCACAAATATAAAGCGCGCGGCTACAAGAATTATTTTTCTCTTAGTCTCAAGCAATAGCTACAGACTATGATTTGATATTGTTGTTTCCAGATGTCTTCACTTCATCATCAAATGTCACGTGATGAACTAGAGTGGTATTTTGGAGTGTCGTCTCCTTATCAAGGTGAAAACATATTGACCAGACATAGCCTCGTCCCTAGGCCACTCTACTAGTCACCAGCCATAGAAACCGTAGAAAAGAGAGTGTAGCCTGGTGACTAGTAGAATCATTTCCCGATATCTCATAAAATGACGCCATACTTTTTTTCTTTCCTTTTTTTTTTGTAGTGCCGCATTACGATGTCGTCACACCATTCCTATCCGACCAAGAAGGACGTTTCCAAGGTTACCAGATGCAGACACYCAACGAGCTAMCAAGGCAATATTACACAATCCCTTCGAGAGACAAACCGCTTCTGATATCAGTCTCTCCTAGAAACGCGTCGACCTCAAAACTTATCTCGATAGAAACACACCATGGAAATGGCTCCYTAACAGGAACAAAGTGGAACGCGCACCTTTGTTTTGGTCACGTGATGTCACATCCGGGATCGTTGGTTGCTATTGGAAACGTCGATGGGCTGGTAAGAAACGTTGTCGAAAGTAGAGAGAACGAAAAGTCAYTCGCGCCGGCTGTACCAGTATGATGCATTTCAGAGTTAAAAATTCAAACCAATGATAAACTAAGAAAAGTTAACATCAGTGCTCTATAAAGAAGATTTTATCTCTCTTTAGGATGGGATAATACAGACGTATCAATTCGTCTGGTACATTCGCCCTTTGTCTACTCGACTGATAAAGCKAAGAGAGGCAGGGCGTGGCACACCACATGTTGTCACGAGGTTRAAGAGGGATGTCCTACCTGACCTAAAACTGTTMAGTTACCTAAACGATGCGTTGCGCAAYCGTGAATCAAAGCACAAGTATCTAGAGCTGGCTATAGTTGCTGATAATTATGCTATATCTAGTATAGGYAATAGAGACATTGATATCAAACATCARCTTACTATGTTGGCTGTCCTTGTAAGTATGGAAATCAGTGCGATATTGATGTTCTTTGCTGTATTTAGTTAGAATATCCAATTCTAGTTGTTCTTGCAATTCTGTAGTCCATAAAAGTAAAGTTTGTGCCATTTTTTGCAGACTAATTTAATGTTTCACGACGAAAGTATTGGGGAGCGTAAAATTGCTGTCATACTCATTAAGATTGTCTTGAAGAAAGATGGGGTAAGCAGAGCTAATCGTGGCTGCTATTATTACAGATTAAGGATAGGAAAGCTATATCATGCGATATGTATGGTATGGCTAGATACAAGAACTGAACCGTCTACATTTTTTGTCATTTCACAGCTCGGGTATCGCAAGGCTGACTCAAATAAACATAAACTTTTCAAGTTTGGTGAATGGGCGTCAAAGGCGTTCCCTCACGATGACAAGGATGYAGGACATCCTGATGTGGCTGTGCTTGTGACAAAGTAAAGCTAATTYATATTTAAGCTAATTGAATGATCTATCAATTCATATCATATGATCAGAGTTGATTTCTTGCCTCATATAGTTTGTCCATGTGAGGGTGMTTGGTTMGGGGRCTGGTTCCTCTCGTAMTGCCTCAAAGCGAGAGTTTTCTTGTATCAGATTCGATAGCATTGAWATTTTTCGTATATTAAAACTCCATTTCCTTTCATTTACAGGGGAATGAAAGGAGGTAGGTATTAATATCTTTTAGTTCCTCACGTTATACAATTATGTTCTTATACTATTTCACCATCATGTACCATTCTTACAATCATTAGGTCTTGCTASTTATACAACGACCTGCCTTAGCACCTTTGGYATAGGTCTAGCAAACGACTTTGGCTTAGGAACAGCTCAAATTATGGTTCATGAGATCGCACACACGTATGTTCTTTGTATGATATTTACTTAAAAAAWTTAATTTCCTTTAAATATTTATGTGCGGAAGGCTGTTCAAAATGTACGGCGAACKKCATTTGACAGGGCATGCTCACATAACTGCTAATCAAAAAATTGGAATCCAGACGTAATGGTTTGAAATGTGCAACAGATTGATTTTTAACGGACCATATCTAACTTAAAAGGCAATGGCTCTGATCAAGAAAGTTTAATTTCCGGAGCAAAATTCAGGAAAACCTTTTCTTACTCTGTACAGAATATTCACTATATTGACGTCCATTGGTCCAATTACTAATGACAATTTGTTTGTATGTAGACTTGGTGTTAGCCATGATGTAGACAATGGGTGTGCTGATGGAAGAAATTTGATGTCAACTGCCATTACCGGTGGTAAAGATCCAAGACGATGGTCATCATGCAGCAAAAAATTGATACAAGCTTTCCTAAGGTAAACAGGAATGTCAAAAACCCCAACTCTAGACTGATTCCATTAGTCGGTACCAGTTCCCTCTGTRAAAAGTTTTTGTCGTTCACCGGTTTGACGCTAGTTTGAGCGACAAACCGAAAAAGCGAGGAACAAATACAGGGCCGTAGCCAGAGTGAATGGACAACCGAGGCAAGCGCGACCGCCGATGGCGGGAGAAACTAGGGGGTCCGGGGGCATTCTCCCCCTAGAAAATTTGAAATTCAGTCTCTCGGAAATGCAAGTTGCAGCGTTTTGTGGGCCTTTTGGTAACTCTTTATTGAACAGATTTAATCGGAATTCATCATGCAGTATTTATGAAACAAAGAAGCTACACGTACAAAATTACGTACAAAAATAACATTATTTTTATATTTTTTGCACAAAATCAGTCGTGCGAAATCGGCTCTGAGAGGCTAAGATAATATTAGTGATGAAGAACAAAKAGCATCYGCAAAKTRTTACKGAGGCGYGTGCCTCGGTTGGCCTCTTACTAGCTACGGCCCTGAAATACTACGACTTATGGAATCATTCTACCCTTCTTACGAACCTGAGAAAATTACCCTTAAAACGCTATAACAGCAACTAAGAATGGACCAAAAATGTCATGTCTAATATTAAAGTTACAATAAAATTAAATGATATCTTATTTAGTGGCCCTGAGTCCAAGTGCCTTGACGACAAACCGGGACAAACGGTACACGAGCCAGAAATATTCAAAATCAAACTTCCTGGACAAGTGTATGATGGGGATGAACAATGCAGAAAGGCATACGGCAAGACGTTTCGTCGCTGTAGGAAACAGTTTGTAAGTAATAAGCATTTTGATTGAGATAATTTATAGTTTAA